ACACCCAGAATAGTGTCTGACCAAATGTCTGGCATATCGTGACCCAATCAAGTTGACACATAAAATTAACTGTCACATTTGCCCTCTGAGATATACCATCACTTATTTCTCCTACTGTTTGCCTACTACCCTTACTTGGTCTTTGCAGGTGGCTCCCCTCTGTATAACTGGTCTTTGGTGTTTTGTTTGGGGCATTCTTCCTTCAGCCTCCTCTCCCTGGGGGATTTTATTCTCCCTTATAATTCCTGGCGCTATCTGTACACATTTGTATCACCAGCCCAGGTGCCACCTCTGAGCTCCCAGTTCTATGTGGAGAAGCCTCAGAGCCCTTGTGAGACAATTCCTCCATCCCCAAGCAGTAGCTGTCTCATGTCCTGCCTGATGTGGATAGCAATTTCATACGATCGCTTGATAGTGCACTTCTTTTAGTCACAAGTGTCAACCACAACGCTTACTTGAGTATACTTCACACATGGATTTTTCCACCTGTGCATGAAAGATCTTGAATCAACACCTCTTCTCCTCCAGCACTTATGCTCTCCCAGTTTGCAAGTATTTATCTTGACAGCCAATTTAGTGCATGTTGGAATGGATGTAGGTCTGATATCATGTGGCACACTGATTGCCTTCGGGCATCGTGGTAAATTCTCAAATCCATCTGCTAACAGTTGAATTCCTAAAAGCAGCTATCTAGGACTACTTTATTTCTAGCCATTGCTATGGAAGATGATGTCCAGAAGACTATCTGGAAAAACTAAAATGTGTGTGGACTGTGGAGGAGAGCATACTAATTAGCACGCATAGGGATTCACACCATGCAATTTTCTTTTGGGCATTATCAAACTCAACAATCCCCACACAGAAATTCATGCTTGACCAATATGTTTGCCCATTTTCCTCTTCCTGAGTTACTTCAGTGAATTATCTCACAGAGATCATTGTCCAAGGCAGAAACCCAGTCACCACCTTAACTCCAGCCTCTCTCTCATCCCCATATCCAATCAGTCAGAAGTCTTGCTCAACACACCTGCTAAATATCTGTGAAATTCTTCACTTCTCCCCATCCCCACTGCCAATGCCTTACTTAACTCAGGATATCTAACCTCTTGCTTGGATTACTGGAATTGCTTAAGTGGCCTCCCTGGATCCTTTGTCTTCCCACCTCTAACCTACCCTCCACACAGCAACCAGATTGATCTTCCCCAAACAGAGGAAAATGTCACTCTCCCCAATTCTAACCTCCAGTGATTGGTCACTGTTCTCAGGACAAGGCCCTAACTCCATACTAGGGACTGGTCAGTTTAGCAGCTGCATTTTCACTTCCACCAATGTGTGTCCCCTTGGGCAAGTGACTTAATCTCTCATGACCTCCATTTTCTCATCTACAAAATGGAATTATAATGGTTGAATTAACAAAGAGTTAATTCTTTTAAAGTGCTGGTAACAATGTTACTTATCTATCATTAACTAATACTATTACTTTTCTTTTAGGAACTTTACAATCCATTCACACAGAATGCCTTTCACTTCTTCAAGGAGGCCATGCTTTCTCTCACCTTCATGGCTTTCCACTTATCTCTACCCAGAACACTTCCTTCTCCCCTCCCCCACCCTACTCTCTCCTCATCCTTAACCTGGTGACCACTAGTTGTCCTTCAGGTCTTAGGTTAGATGTCTAATGCTCTAGGAAGACTTCTATGTCCCTTAGTCTGTGCTTGTGCTCTCTTGACTCCCAGTACTATTACTTTTTCTTTTTTTTCAAATGACTATGAGAACTCAGGTCGCTGAACAAGCGGGGATGCAGGGTGTGGCATGGCATCTGCCTTCTCTCTGGGCCTCCAAGATTAGGTCCAGCCCCAGTGGTTATGGGACTGATGGTCAGCAGAAGCTTGTTGAGAAACTGGAGATTCTGAAAGTGTCCATGGTTCCAACAGTGACTAAGTGTGGCCTAGAGTTGTGGGGAGGGCTGCTCTGCCTCTGCAGGGACATCACTGCCATCCTGGAGCAATTCCAGAGTGCCAGGAAGGAGATAGCATCCTTGGCCTGACTAGTGGCTTTTTCATGAGAACTGGGAAGACCCAGGGTGAGAAGGCCTTAGGAACCGAGTGGGGAGACGCTAATGACATTCTGATAAATGTTTAACTGGCTATCCCTCTGGGGTCGGGGGGGCTCCAATTTGTGGCATTTTGCCGTATTTCCATGATGTAAATAATCCCACCATGACTGATTTCAAACTACCAACATGACCTCACTGAAGGTAGAATTAGGAACAGACACATACAATGAGCTCTTGTGAGTCAGGGCACCACTGGGAGAGGCCTAGGTAAGGAGCTGAGAAGAGTCATAGGTCGGGAGAGTCCTCACAGCTAAGCATCAACTCACAAAGGCACATGTCCTAGAAACCTGCCCGGTCTCACCCATCCCCAGGCTCAGTGTGGTGTCAATACTTACTTCAGACACATTTGGGTGTGCCTACCTGGGCTGAGGTCCTGTCACCTTGAAGCTCACTCAGTGGTCACCTAGGCGACTGCCTACGTAGGGCTATGATGGTCTCATGCAGTTCTGAGGGGGTCTTCTGGGCCTGCCTCCCATGCTGGGAGGGCCCAAACTTGCCTCAGAGATGTCCTTGAAGGACCCTGGCTAGAGCAGGGAGAGAGCTACATCTTAAGGGGAGGCAAATGGATGGAAAACACTCTGGCGACCCAGGTCCTGAAGGTATGAAATTTCAGCTTTACATCTTGGAGTGGATCCAGTCTGACATCTGAGGAATGTGAAGACACATCCAACATGCTAGCTCCGAAGGCAGCACTGTTAAACCCCTCCCACAGGAATGTGGTAAAACCTTTCTGGGAAACTTTTAACCCCTCCTAGAACAGATTGTAGGCTCACAGCAGCATTTTTTGTGCCATACCCCAAACACCTAGAGCAGCACCTAGTCAAAAAATGGGTATTCAATAACTATTACTGAATCTACTGGAAACATCCAGAATTCAAATGGCCACTGTCTGACCAAAAAGTTACACCAGATTAAATCATTCACAGAAGCGAAAGGGAAATGTGTAGTGGAGACAGTGGGTCTGGAAATTGGATCTGAGGTGGGGATCTGCTTTAGAATTTGGTAAAGCAAACACAAGCAGGAAATATGCATGGAGATTAAAGTAGTGAGCTCTGGTAACCCCTAGTGGATACACTGCTCCTGGGTGGTACAGACAAGAGAAATATAGCATGTAGTTATTGAGCACCTACTACAGACCCAACCCTCTCCTGGGATTTTTATGTTCTTCTAAACTGATGAAATCACTAATACAAGGCCCATCTTCTCCCCAGAAGCTCCCTACTCCTACTGCCTCAACTCCCATTTATAGAAAAAGCTTAAAGAGTTGACCAAGTGGGAAGTTTAACTTCAGGAGAACAAGCCCTTGGCCTACTGTTACCAGTGGCAGCATTCTGCTCAAATGAGGTCCTGCACCCATTAACAAGACTGCATCTCTTGGTGGGGGCCAGTGATTACATGATTCTCTTTACTTTCTTAGGTTCTGAGGTTAGGACCACAGTGCAAGTTAGATGTTCCTTCTCTTAATTTCTGTGTCAAATATAGTTAATTGTTAGGCTTCTTTAGAGGCCTAGAATGTGTTGTTGAGAACATATTTAGGGCATCCCAAATTTCTAGGTTGCCCTTAGGTATGAAGCAGGGAGATTCTATCCAGAGTCAGGATGTAAAAGCAAACAGGCAGCTGGAGAAACTGCCCATCCCAGGTACTCTGGCAGCTGTGGTGACTACCTGGATAGTCATTCAGAGGAAACAGTTGTGAGAGAGAGAGATAACAAGGGGTTTTACGGCTTTCTGTAAAAACAGCATCTTCCAATTGGAGAAGCAGATGACAAGTATCCAGCTATCAAAACCACAGAGGGCAAAGTCCCCCGCCTGGGCACAGTCTGACTGCATGCCTAGAGGTAGAGTAAGCCCCTTCTAGGTTAACAGAATCAGATATATATGGGACACCTGCCACTCACTGCAAAGCGCTTCACAAAGCAGGCTGGCTGCATTCATCTGTGTAATAAAGCAGAATCTGAAACAAACCCTCTTTACTCAGTTTCTTGGAGCCCCATTGTAGAGAACATGCCTTTAATTAGAGTCAGACTACACAGTGGTGGGGCTCTGCTATACTGTGGTTTGGTGCTGCACGCAGAAAAGTTACCATGTATTTTTCCAGGCAAGCAAAATGCAGATGATGTTTAATATCAGATATCTCTCCAGGGAAAGAACATCCTGTAGCAAAATAATGCAAAAGTTTGGGCTAGTTTTTGGTTTGTCTTTTAAAAACAGAATATTCAGGGGTGCCTGGGTGGCTCAGTCATTAATCGTCTGCCTTCGGCTCATGTCATGATCCTAGAATCCTGGGATCAAGCCCCATGTTGGGCTCGCTGCTTGGCAGGAAGCCTGCTTCTCCCTCTCCCACTACCCTCCCCCTACGTGTGTTCCCTCTCTCTGTGTCTCTGTTAAATAAACAAACAAATAAATAAATGAATAAATAAATAAATAAAATTACATTCTCATAAAACCACTGCCCTTGTTTTCTGACACTGGCTAAAAGAGATTTAGGGGCACTTGGCTGCCTCCGTCAGTGGAACGTATGACTTCTGAACTCAGTGTTTTAGTTTGAGCCCCACACTGGGTATAGAGTTTACTAAATAAATTAATAAATAAAATAGATTCAGGAACAACTTCCTGAATCCTAGCTGAGACTGGGGAAGCCACCTGGTCCAGAAACCAAGTAGGCAGTGACCTACCTCTGGAATGAAAAGGAAAAACAGTCAGGGCCGTAACAGAGCCCATCTGCTATGGCCATGATCTTGGGCTTGGTTCTTAGGCTGACATTCACTTGAGTCTATCATCTGATATAGTCACTTTCTTGGTTGCAATTTATGAGCTGTCAGTGTTTACTTGTGAGACTGTGTGGGAGCTGGAAGGGAAAAAGATAAATACACCAAAGCCCGGCTGAGCAACCGATAGGCTTTACATTTTATTTCCAGGAAATGACATCTTGTTTTCACAAAGAGGCAGGCCATCCTCTCCAAGGGAGGCTGCCTTGGCTTTTAGGGGCAGCCGTAGGGGTTACACCCAACCTGTCCAAAACAAATGTCAACTGACGTGCTTCTGAGGTACCCAAATGATAACAAAAACAATAAATTTAAAAAGCAGAACAGAAATACATAACCCATTCAACACACAGTGAAGCAGTCTATCAAGTACCCGGAAGCAGCCCTCGTGGGGAGTACCAGCACGGCCTCAGACAGCGATGGCAGCGTGGCCGGCCAACACGGAGGCTCATGAGGAGGACTTCCTAACTCAGTCTCTGTCCCACGTGGCTCCATCCCATGCTCTATCTCAGAGCAGCCCAAGACCTGGCCACAGATAATCCTCCAGACCATACAAGCTCCCATTGTCTGGCAATCAAATCCCTTGAACGCCCCTGGAGCGTGGTCTTCAGGACAGTCTCTTTGCTTGGAAGAGAAAGAAAAGAGAATTAAAGGAGAAGCCTGTATTTCCCTGGCCTGGCCTCCCTGCTGCCATCCTCATGTCATGCTGTTCAGAGCCTGCTCCTCATCTCTCCCAGAGTAAGAGTTCAAGGCCCATGAAGGACCCTGAGGTCCTTCTGTGCTGCCCTCCTCGCCCCCATGGTGTGCTCCACTGGGGTTACACTGGTTGCCTCGCTGCCCCTCCGCTCCCCCCCCTCAAAAGTGTTCCCCCTTCCTGTGGCCACTGCCTCCAGGGCCTTACTCCAGTACTGCCTTCTGCCACCTTCCATGACTACCCTACCAAAAATGGCAACGATCACTCTCTGATCCCTTGCTTTTTCTTGTAGCACTAATCACATCTAACTTACTAGATTTTTGCTTCTCTTTCTATTCCTGTAAACTATAGCAGCACTTGGCACAAAGCTGGCCCTCAATGCACACTGTTGAAGGACAAAGGAATTATATACATAGCACTAGGTAAGGACAGGAGAAAAGGGAGGAGGTAGGAGGGATAATTTACTGCTATGTACTGTTTCTGCTTCCTCAATCCGGGGAAGCAGGGATCCCAGCCTAAGAGCACAATAAAGCTACCAAAGAGACTGTCCCGTTCCCTGAGATTGAGGTCCTGAACACTTGGTAGGAGGACGGACAGGATTATAAAATCCTACTCTTCTCCACTTGTGGGCAGCCTTGGAGAGCTGAGAGAGCTATGTGAGTCTCCCTTGCAGCTAAGGCCTCACCTAGTAGCACACCGAAAAATAAAAAAGCCACAAGAAAGAAATTCTCTTGACTCTCCTCAAGCAAATCACCGTGCCCACCCTCCCACATTAAACCCTTCTCTCTAGATAACAGGATATACCCTCCCACTCTTAGACACTAATTCCCCCATCTGCCCTGCCCTCTCCTGATTGCCAAAGAATCTGGCCCTACCCACTATCTCAACTTCCCAGCATCTCCTCCTCCACAGGCTCAGCAATTGAACACACTCAGATCTCTGTGTCTTCAAAATCAAAAAACAAAACAAAAACTTCCTCTTATCCCACCTCCTCCTCCAGCTATGGCCTTCTCTTGGTGCTGTCCCTATGTCTTAGTGGCAGCCAAATTTCTTGAGGAACTTGTCTATCTTACTTTACTTCCTAACCTCACACTCATTCTCCAATTCATGGCAAACTAGCTTCTCACCCCACCAGTCCCCCCAAACTTATACTAGATAAAGTCATCAATGTCCCACACTCCTGCTATATCCAAAAGGCAGTTTTTCCTCTGATGCCCTGCTTACTTTTATCCCCAACACCTGGCACTTAGTAAGAACTGAGAAGGAAAGGCTCAGATGACAGGAATCAAGGAAGAGATACTCTTTGTGGTTGGTTCTGATTCAGGTTTCATGGGACAAGGGTAAAAGAGGTCCAAACTCTCCAGAGTAGGAAAGCAGAAAGCAATTCAAGCAGATGTCTTAGCCAGGAATAGGAGCATGTCTGGTCTCATCAGATTTCTTAAAAATCACAGTGGCAGGCAGTCGGGCAGGATATATATCCAGCTGGTGCAGAGAAGCCTCAACGATGATGCACCTAATTCTATGACATTCTATGGGGGGAGGGAGGAAGAAGCATAGTCAGTGACCCCAGCCACTCTCTGAGATTAGTTCATGGAGATCTAAAAATGCTCTGTGTTCATCTAGAGTTAAGTGTAGAAATCAAGAAACTCTCAAGGAAAATCTGCTTTGGTTAATAACACTCCTCTGTATTTACACAGGTGGTCTTCTATAATAAGAAGTTCCTGAAAGTGTATGTCTGTAAAGGAAATCATAAAGTTACATGCTCGGGAAGGGAGAATCCATTTTTTTAGAGAACCAAAATAACTCTATTTTATCATTAAGAAGACAAAAGGGGCGCCTGGGTGGCTCAGTTGGTCCAGCATCCAACTCTTGATTTCCACTCAGATTGTGATCTCAGGGTGGTGGAATGGACCTCTGCCTCAAACTCTGTGCCTCAGGCTCTACATTCAGCACGGAGTCTGCTTGGGTTTCTGTCCTAATGTCCTTGCCCCACTTGTGCACATGCGTACATTCTCTCTCAAATAAATAAATAAAATCCTTAAAAAAAAAGTCTAAAGGACTCTAGACTCAGCAAACAATCTGAGGTTCTAGGCCATCATGGGCTGTTACTTCACACATGGCAATTAATCCCACAGCTGACCTCTACTCCAATCACGGTCCCCTCCCCCACTGGGGGGACAGTTCCTGTGCTGCCCTTATCATTTCCAACTATGCATCTGAGATGCCACAAGGGTGATGGGGAAAAGGGGTCCCATCAAGGGACAAGGAAAGGAAGGACAACAGACAAAAAAAGAGAAGGAAAGGAAAAGTAAGGGGAAAAAATGGGAGGTGGTGATGGAAAAACACAAAACAGTTTCTAGGAACAAGTCTACTAATTTTCTATCCCATGACAATTTTGCAAAGGAAGAATCTTTGAAAGTCAAAAATTTTAAAGAGTTCAGTGTTACAAACTATTTGCGTGCATGCCTGTGGACACCCCAGCCCGTGGCTACCTTGCTGAAAGCCATTTTCCCCTAGATGAACTGTCATGTGCTGGGCAGGCATGCTGACTTCATGCACACGACCCTTCAGACTGTCTAGGGGCAAGGCTGGGTGGATTCAAAGTACTTGCTAATAAGTATGCTCTGTGGATGAGCTCAGCTTGCCAGACACCATTACTGCTGCCATGCCCACATACTCCTTTATGAGGCTCTGTCTTGAGCAGAGGGTGATGGGCATTATCAAGGAAAACCTTGCAGCTGGGCAGGCAGATACTCTCTTAAGTGACTGCCAGTTTCTCCTGTCCCATGTCTGGATCACTCTCGTCAGAGCCCACAGGAAATTGGCAAGAGCCACAGGCCCTGTGGTCTGACCTGAGTCTATCTCCCTAGAGACCCTCAAGCTCTACAAGGGCCTCTGTGTCACAGATGCAGGAAAGCTGTGGTTCATAAACCTTTCTCCTCACCTCAGCATACCTAAAGGCCACAGCATGCTCCCACCAGCAGCCTTGGTTCCATGTAATAGTATCAAGGGAGCCAGGGAATGTAGTTTGAAAAAGCCCCTGGACTGAAAATCACTCTCCTAAAGGACCAACAATTTTATTTCTAGGTAATCTGCTTTCTTCCTTTCTGAGTACAACCCAAAGAAACGGCTAGGGAAAGCTAAAAGCGAGAATGTTAACACTCTGTCAACCAACCAACATTTAATGAGAACAGAACAAACAGAAGAGGGGGTGTAGCTGACAGAAGACTCTGCTCCAGCACCCCACCAGCTCCAGAGGGAGAGCCTCTGCAGGGAATGTCAAAAAATGTCTTCCCTTCAGAAAATTTCACGTCAAAATCCCAGAGAGCCAGTTATTCATGTGACAAGCACTTACTAGATGTCTGTTATCGCCCCACCTCCAGAGCATCCTTTTTCTAACACAGGATCTAGTCTCCAAGCCTTCTCCTCCTCTCCTCTGTATAATCTGGACTCAGAGTTTATGAGGGTCAGTGGCTCATTGGTCATGTGGCATTACTCCTCCCACGGGGATATGGAACTAGAAGACAACCACCAGCCAGGAAGGCCTAGAGTGGGGCTGCTCCTGGTGGAATCAGCACCCTACACTGCCACAGACAGAAGGGTTTCTCCTCCCCGAATCTGTGGTAAGAGCAACCCCTGCCCGGGAGGCAAACAGCCCTTCGGGGGTATCCGAACTCTGACAATTACAGGCCAATCCTGGTTCCCAGATTCTAAGTCAGGTCCTTTTTAAAATTCCCATGCACTGGGGATTAAAGCAGCTTTCAATTGGCAAGGAAAGTCGGTATTTGAACTGGGAATTTCCTCTAAACCTCATACTGCAGACCAGTGGAGCTCTTGATGGCTCTGGTTCATGTTTCCCTAAATCAGGACTCAGAACCTTCTGTCTCTGTGGAGAACTCCTCAGAGCTGCAATTGCTGCGATAACCACGGAAACGGAGACCAGTGTCAGCGCCCCTCCCGCCAGGAAGCACGCGGGGAGTCCGCTTCAGCTCACCGAATAGGCTCCGAGGGTTACCAAAAAGGCAGAGAGGCACCCTCTGTAGCCTCTGGAGGGAGAAGGCGGGGGGGTCTGATGTGATTTATTCTGCAGCTATAACTCTGTGTGAGGAGAGCCAGAGGTGAACTTAGGACACGTGGCTCTTCCTTCCCTTTCCAGTGCTGCATGAAGCCATCTATGGCACTTGCACACATGAGAAGAAACCCAGTCAGTGGGCTCAGAGAAGAAAGTACGTGGGTGTTCCTTGCGCCCCGTTCCAGCACACTCCAGCTGGAAGGCTGACCTGGGTTAAATCTGGGTCTCGGGTCATTGCGCCTCACAGAAGGCATTTACCACACCTCAGCGGAACACCTTCCAAGTCGGTGGCTGTCCTCATGTTGCTCTGGCACCATGTGGACATTCTGTCACCTATGGGCCACGAGGAGGCACTGCTAGGAACACTGGACTGCTTCTCGTGCCTCTACACTTTGCACTGCAGCCTCTGCCTGGGAAGCACCAGCCTTGGGAACCTTGAGACTCTGTTCAAATGGCACTTCCATGAAGCTTCCTACTGTACCTCCGCCTGCCCAGGCCAAACTGACTGCCTGCTCCTCTGCAGTGTCTCAGCATCCTGGCCGGGAACTCGTCCCACTGCCTCCCTGCCTTTCTCCCTTCTCCATGGACTGAGTGCTGTGGGAGCTGCAACAATGCTGTCTGTATCTCTTTAGTCCTGTGTGGTGTGTACTGTTCCTATAACTGCTGACAGAGTGAGAAGTGAGGGGAAAAGCAACAGGATTCTGCCAGAATCTAGTGGCTCCTGCAAGGTAAAAGATCTGGGAGGGCCCAAACTGACAAAATCTATGAGCACACAGCTGTCATTGGAAAACATTTGGGTTCCAAAGAACCACCTGAGGGCTGTCCCAGCCTTCCACAGGTCAGAATGCCTTCCTTGGTAGAAGAGGCTCAAGGCCACTTCCCGCTCAGCAGCTACTTTACCTGGCTCTGCACAAGCTTGCTGCCTTGGCTTTGGCTGACCAGCCGAGTGCCAGGGTCACAGGACAGATGCCTATAGATTAGTGGCAGATTCCCGGTCTTACTCAAAGTGGCTGACATCCGCTGAAGGGCTAGCAGGAAGGAAGGAGCAGACAGATCCTACTCTTAGCAGCATGGCTTTTAGGGCTTAAGTTTCTCTGGACTTGGAGACAGGTACATTCAGAGACACATATGAGTCTGGGTTACCAATGGCCGGGTGGTGGTGGGAAGCACCTGTAAGGGCAGTGAGCTTCTGGGTCTTCTTCTCTGCTCGGCCTTTATGTGCAGCTGACTGACATCATAGCACCTTGGCTCTGATGCTCTCCCACAAGGTAGTGCTGTGCTGGATTATTAGAGGGACCGGGTCCACCCTGCTTCTGTGAGCTCTTGCCGCTGGCCAATAACCAATCCTTTTTCCTCTCCATTAGCTTCCTTGTGCCTTGCCCCAGGATGCATCTTTTGCCACAAAAACATTTAAATCTCAAGTGGAGGGGCTCTGCAACCCGCAACACAGCAAGCTCCAAGGGAGATGGGATCACTTAGTTGAATAAGTGGATATTCACCAAGGAAGCATGGTTCATTAGGGGAATTTACCCACCCATTTCCCCAATCTCTTTATCCAAATTCTCTCCGACTGGGAAACGAGCTGGTAAATATATTAGAATCCCCAAAGATTAAATTTATCTAATCTGACATCATGTCCAATTTGTGTAATTAAGCTATGACTTACTATAAAACATGTATTCTCACCAAGCATTCTCCAATTTGCCAATCTCTGACTTGTTCATCTCCTGTTGATAACTGTGTACCCAACCCAAGGTTTTTGCCAACACCTGGACAGCAACTGAACTGTCTTGGACAACAGCACCATCTAGTGATCAGTACAATAAGCCTTCTGACCTTGTGATTTCCACACACACCCATAACCAAGGTACATAGAATTAAGTCTCCCCCTTTCCTACTACTCAAATAGGCGAGTCCATTCTCCCTCAACTCTTTCTACAATGTTCATTACCTTTAACTCTCTTTCCTTTTTTCCCATTTCTCCCTCCTCTTCTTTAGCTTAAGAATCATTTATCTCTCTTCCCAAACCAAAAAAATCTACTTAAGTTTGTCAGTCTTCTGTTGAGGGAACTCACCTTCTTATTCATACCCACTTACCTTTTCGTTCCCTAATGAGGACAATTCGTCGTTCTTTCACTTCTGAGCTCAGATTATCTACCATCTTATTAATGCAATTATCCAGAACCAGGGAGTGGGTTTTGGACTTGATGTCCTTCCGACAAATGGGGCATTCTACCTTCCGCTTCATCCACTCATTGATACAGTAAGAGCAGAAACTGTGGGCACAGTTCAAGGTGACAGCCTATAATGGGAATGCAAACACATACATCAGAACCATCATGCTTACTTTTCCAGGGCTGTTGTGATCACAAATCTAGCACAGGAGTTCATTTCCAAGGCCAAATGGAAATTTAACCCTAATTCCATCTAGAGGGCTTATAGATGGTATTAGAATTGTTCTTGAGCATGGGAAAGTTTAAGTCAGATCGTTCAGCTTCTTTCTCAAAGGTAAGTTCATAGATGTAGGCTGATGGGTCTGTCTTGTTCCACCAACTCAGATGACACTACTAACGCGGCTTAGCTACCTTGCAAACAAACGTCACTGGACACAAGTAGGACTAGTAAGCGTGTGAATGTTTGGTGCACATACCTCACTAATTCTCTCATGGAAAACAAATGTATAACCTGCTGATGGTGAATCAGAGCTTCAATTTTAATAGACAATGGGGAGCACATTCTGAATACTCAGTATATAGAACGGAAGGAGCATCATCTATACTCAAAAGAAACAAAAAGACGGGGCGCCTGGGTGGCTCAGTGGGTTAAAGCCTCTGCCTTCAGCTCAGGTCATGATCCCAGGGTCCTGGGATCAAGCCCCGCATGGAGCCCTGTGTTGGGCTCTCTGCTCGGTGGGGAGCCTGCTTTCTCCTCTCTCTGCCTGCCTCTCTGCCTACTTGTGATCTCTGTCAAATAAATAAATAAAATCTTAAAAAAAAAAAAAGAAACAAAAAGAAAAATACATATAAAGACAATTAAAAAGGCTGGGGGGGGGGGAAGAAACTAAAAAAATGGAAAATATGTAATGGGTTCACAGACAGTGACTGAATCCTTAAGTAAATAAGCCTGTGAGAGGAGGGAAAGCAGAAGGGAGTCTAAAGCTGAGGAACTCCTCCAAGTCACTCCAATGGTCAGATTTCTGCCAGGGCCCTTTTCACTTCTGAAAATATAAACCGTCCTCTTTATTACACTTGTTTATATACATCTCTTAAGATACAAGTTTTTCTGAGGCTCAAAAGTCTTCATTCCTGCTTTTAGGATAGAAAATACCAGAAATTATGCATTTTTCAAATGCCAAATCTAGCACAGAAAGCCAACTAGGAGATATTTTGTTAACTATATGAGATAAATCCTCACAGGACTAAAAACCTGTCTGATTAACATAAAACCTCTTTTCAACACTGACTTTACGAGGTGACTGTGAAAAGGTCAGGCGGGTCTACGGTAAACAAGGGACGGGTCAGGTTGTTTGTCTCTTCTATGTCTGTGCAGATGTTCCGGGTGGGGTAACTCATCACCCAGCCCAACGCCCCTTCCCTTGCCTTCCTCCAGCAGAGCCCTGTCAAAGCCACACTGAGTGTCTCCAAAGTAGGCAATCAAATGACTAGAAACTATGGCGGAAATGATGACCTGAAGTCAAACTGGATCCAAGCAAAACAAACAGACCTGCCCTTCCCAGGAGGCTAATACACTCACCCTCCCTATAGACTACCAGAATGAAGGAAGGAGTGCGTGCATACACTCTCCTTTCTAAAGAAGTCTGGAAAGCACTGTCCTTTAACAACTTGACTTTAAGATGAGTGGTGTAAGATGAACTGGTCACAAATGATAGAATTTGTGACAAATAAAGTCAATGCAAAAATACGACATGGTAACAAATGGAAACCTAGAAGATGTTTTTGTTTTCATAGTGAGCCTCAGAGTGTCCCTGAAATATGTTCCACTTGGCTGCTGAATTCCCAAAGTGACCACACATGAGTGACATTTACCACCCTGTTGAAGGCTGCACTATCCGCCCACTCTCAGCTCCGCACCCATTCAGAGTAAAGAGAAGCTTTGTTGAGCAGCTTTACTCGGATACTTCAAAAATCTAATGTCATGTGGCCCCATTTTCTCCCAACAACAAAGAAATAAAGGCTTTATTGCAGCTAAAAATAGTGATTGTACCAAATAAACACCCAACAATGGACAAAATAAAAAGATCAGTAAAAGTAAAGAAGACCACAAAAAACAAACGAGATATGGCCATCTCTCGAGGTCACTTTGAGGTCAAATAACTACAATAGATTCCTAGAATAAAAATCTCTTCAGAATGTTTCCCTGTAGCAGAACCTGTGCAGCTGAGGCTCTGTTCAGGGTTGAGAGGAACAAGAAGGCAGGAGCCTCTGCTTGTCATTACCTCAATGAAGTATTCGGAGCAAATAATACACTGGAGCTCATTCTCTAGCACGTCATTCACATGGCTAAGCACTTCTTCCTTCTGTGCCTGCACCTTCTCCTTCTCTTCCTGCAAAGACACACAACCCCAACCCCACCTGTCATTTGGGGGAACCAACAAGAATGCACAACAGGACAGGGAGGAGTGTTAACTATCTGGAATAGGATTTGGGAATCCAAGTAAAATATTCAACCTGGTGCAGCAATAGGAGAATGAAAACCTTTCCCTGAGAGTTATGGTTTCTCACCACTGCTCTCTAATACAGGGCACTGTCTGCCTTTCTTTCCTCTCTCCACTTTTTGTGTATTTGCATTGTAGGTTCTGTCCCCTTTCCCAGAACTAACAGAAGATAGCATACTCACCCCACTGACCACATAAGATTAGAATGAGGCATTAAGCATCCTATAACTAACAGCAGTTTAGGGGTGATATAAAATCATCCCAAGCAACCAAGAATTCATTGGACACAAAAGCAGACATGAAAAACAGTCCATAGAGGCAGGAAGCCTAAATTAGTTTATAAGGTCCCCTGTGCTCCTTGCAGCTGCCTCTTCTACAAAATGAGGATAATACTTATACTCCCGGGACGCAAGAGGCTGAAAGAGTGCCTCTTCCTGGATCTTCAGGATCCAAGCTTTATGATGCTTGCCACCCCTCCTCCTACAGAGGTCTGCAGTCCAATTTCCTTCTGCTTTCACCAAGAGGTCAGACCCCCCTGTGGACACACTTTTTGGGAAGGATCCTAGGTATGTTCTCTTAAAGCAAACATTTATTTAAGTCAGCACCTCATCCCCTAAGCTGGAATTGTCAAGAGCCCCTGAAGGGAAAGGTAAGGCCATTTAGGGTATAGATGAGTAACTGATTAGTTTTTCATCTTTTACTGTCACTTCTAATCAAAGCAAAGACTGTCACACTGCCTAGGGCAACGAAGGATCTGGACCCATTTTAACTAGAGTCAAGTTCCCTGAAAACTTACAAATTGCTAGGTTTAAAAAGATGTGGTTTTTGGAAGTTAAGAAAGAAGGTACTATGTGATTTAAACAGAGGATAAGGATCTCAAACCAAATGAAAGTTGAGTCTCCTCTTTTCCGTACTCTGCTCCAGGTCTGCCTGTGGGGAAGGGTGGGCTGGGAGATGCAGTCAACCTCAGACTTTAAGTTCAGGTCAGAGGCTCCAAACTGCTGGCCCATGGACTGGATCTAGGTGACAGATTTGTTTAGTTTGGCCCTCATGGTATTAAAAAATACAACAAAAAAGACTTGATTTTGTTGCTAATATTTAAAGTTGAAACAATTCACATAAACATTTGGATTTCCATCTTCTGTGGAAAAGTCAGAAGCTCTGATAACAGTGGGCCTGCGTTTCTGGATGGCAACAACTGGCTGCAGCAGAGAAGAGCTGCCTCTTGGGGACAGAGGTGGGCAAGGGGGGTGGCGAGTGCCCCTTGCTAGTGTGCCTCTGTCCTCACAACTCCCTACTGTGGAGCCTGCACGCAGGTCACTTGACTCACTTCTACTTTCAGTCTTCCCTGGTGAGCACCTGAGTTTAGAACCCCTAATTTAGAGGCGCCTGGGTGGCTCAGTGGGTTAAAGCCTCTGCCTTTGGCTCAGGTCATGATCCCAGGGTCCTGAGATTGAGCCCCACATCGGGCTCTCTGCTCGGCAGGGAGCCTGCTTCCCCCTCTCTCTCTGCCTCTCTGTCTACTTGTGATCTCTGTCAAATAAATAAATAAATACAATCTTAAAAAAGAAAAAACCAAAAACCCCTAATTTAAGAATTCCACTGATGTGATGTGGGAAATAATGACCTACTGGCATCAGGACAAACTGTTTCTTGACTGTATCACCCCTTAGCCTGTGTCAACGAAACACTCTGAAGGAGCGTCTACCACCACAGCCAAAGGACAAGACTGCAGGATGAGTCTCATTCCCAGTATTTCGCTTCTAAATGAGGGAAGGAAAAAAACATCAGGCAGACCCTTCCATAGGCCTGAATAATTTTATGGATTATTTCCCCTGAGGCAAGGAACCACCATAATCTCCCTCTCCATTCACCAGAGCAACCCTTGCACTGTTGAAAATGCTGAGTTGCTTGTACTAACCAAATTCTAAACCTTCATCTTCTTTCTAGTACCTTGGTCTGTTCCAATTCTTTGTTCTTGGCTTGAATGATTGCTTCAAAGTCCTTCTTGCTGCGATTTAGTTCTTCCATTAGAGCCCGATGCTGCAGAAACATAGTAGATACATGATCAAGATGAGCTTATACTGCATCTTTCGTTTTAGCCACAAAGGAGCAGGCTTGCTCTCTCTCTCCCCTCTCCCCGTCAGTAGCTTTGGTTCAAGGGATCAATGGATTAGCAATTTCAAGAATACCTTTGTTCCTTCAGGACAGCCCACTTACCTGCTGGTTTTCTTCAGGGAAGGGGGCAGCTAGGGAGGGAGGTCATCAAATCCATTAATCCCTCTGGGAGTAACCCAACCTCAATGGCCATCCAAATCAACTAAAGAATTTAAACTGCCTTCCAGAGAGTCTGATTCTGTAGGTTTGGCTGGGGGCCCAGGAATGTGCATTTTTTAAAAAAAGCCACCCAAGTGATTCTGACAACCAGTGTTCAAGAGCTGGTAAAGTAATCGGAGGCTATCCAGCACTGGGAGTGGCTTTTAAGAATTAATCAGAGAGAACTGGAATTTCTAGATTATCATTTTCGTTGGAAAAAAAAAAAGCCCTTTAACCTATTTATTCTACAAATCACATACTACGTGCTTGTAAGGCAGTGCTGGCTGAACCCTGTCTGTGTCTTTTGGAAGCTGGCACACTCAAGAGCTAACAGCTCAATCACTGTGACTAACTGCCTACACTGAATGTCAAGAGATTCTACCTCTATGAAAATTTCTGAGCACCCTTGTGCTTACGTATAGCTTGCACTTTAATTCTCCTCTCAAATCCTTTCTTAAAAAAGGTGGAGGGACGCCTGGGTGGCTCAGTGAGTTAAAGCCTCTGCCTTTGGCTCAGGTCATGATCCCAGGGTCCAGGGACCGAGCCCCACATTGGGCTCTCTGCTCAGCAGGGAGCCTGCTTCCCGCGCTCTCTCTCTGTATCTCTGCCTACTTATCTCTGTCAAATAAATAAATTAAATCTTAAAAAAAAAAATCTGTTTCTTTAAAGGAAAAAAAAGGTGGAAAAGCTAAGTATTTCTAAAAAGATATTACTCAAGAAACAAACTTTAAAATGTGTGGTCTCCCCACAAAAAGCAGTTATATCGGAAGGCCCGGGTAGTCATCTTGACCACTGATTACATGTATGTGCCTAACTTACTCGTCTATAAAATGGGACAACAGGCACCCCTCCTACTTCAGTGTGAAGAAAAAGAAAATAACAGGTATGAAAGCATTTGGGAAAATTTTTAAAGCTCTATGTAAATGCAAGTTTTTGTAACTGCCTAGTACATAAAAAAGAATTGCTACAGAGGGACTCACAGGGTGGACCAAAAACAACCACTGCTTCAGTTGAGAGAGTGGTACGTCCCAAGGCATGTTGTTATAAACCATGACCTCAAAGTATCCCATTTTAGTCTAATGAATAGAAACTAGCCAAGTACCTCATGCTAAATGTTTTCCTATCTCTCAGGAGAGGGTGAGGAGTTGTGGGTACAAGGTGGTCAAAGATCCCTTGGGGATTTCCAAATAGCAGAACCTTACTCTTTTCCAGTCAATATCAAAACAATATCACAATACAATTTAATAATGCCTAAATGAGAAATATGCCTACTTTCCCACCTTAGAAAATAAACAACCTTAGAAAATAAAATTCCGAAAAGACTGAATTTTCACCCAATTCTTTTCAAGGCTAGTTGCACACCCCTTAGGGAAATCAAGGCAGGCATTCCCTCAAAGCTTAACAGTAATACAAGGCTGTTAGCTCTCTAAGAAGGTTGGGAGTTAGATATGCAATAAAAGAACATAGGGATAAATTCTCCTAAACAAATTCTAATGCAGTTGCTCACTATTCTCAAGGAGATTTGAACTATCCCACTAATCTCCTGACAAAACTTGCATCAAACTACTGATCGTAAACACATAAAGGACAGAAGGTAAAGCAGGTTTAAAAGATGCAAAAGAGCTTCTAAAAAAATTATCAGATGATAGTCAAGTTACATGAAATAAATTACTGGCAATCTTTGAGGGGAATTTTATTCCTGTGAGCCTTGCCCTTTCAGTAAATCGTTATGTTTTGCTGACTGTTAAACTCCACTCTCAACCTGACCTAAAACGCTTAACTGAAACATTCTTGAATGGTTTCTGGATGGCTTCAGCTCAGGAACAGGGAGGTAATAAAGGCCCTTGCAGGCCCTGGCGGCGAAGTCATAGCTTGAAATTCCCCTCTGCTGCCCTCACCTTTCTGGAAGTGCAGCCACTTCCCCCAGAGAGCCTCCTAATTGCTATAGGCTCCGTCCCATCTTCACTAGAGCAACGTCTGCTCAGATTAAGATGTAAGTTTTCATGCTGAGGTCTGGCATGTCTGTGAGGCCAAATCTCCGACCTGACGGTGTGAGCAGCTGCTCTGTCTGCAGACTGGAGATGCTACGGAGGTGTGTGCTAAACAGAGGAGGCAGCCAGTGGCCATGGGAAGCCCCAGCCCGCTATAATCTCAGAACAGTGGCAAGAGACGAGTTACCTCCTGCAGAGCCTGGGCCAGCTGTTGCTTCAGGTCCTCTTCTCCTTGCTCCTTCTCCAAACCCTGCAAAGCCAAAAACAAAATGGAAGGCTTCCCTACAGGGAGGAGGATAAAAGAAACAAAATCTAGCAATAAGCAGAGCAGTCTGGCTTCTGTAAGCATCTGGAAACAACAGGGGGCAGGGAGCAGGTGGAGAATCTCCCGTTTTACTTCCAGCGGTTGGCAGTAAGGGCTTTGAGCAGTGTGAACTACTCAAAGACCGCACACCTCAGGGCTGTCACCTTCAAGTTACCACTCAGGCTGCCCTGGAGAGAACCCCTGGGGTAATGCTGAGTCTCCTTCACAGGCTAACATCGTGATTCCCAGAAAGACGTAAACTGAGAGCTTTGAAGCCACCAAATGTCTAAACTCAGATATGGCCCCCTAGGTTGAGACTAACAAGTTCCGCCACATTTCTTCCCTCGATTCTGGCTGCCCTGTCTCTTAGTGTGAGTCTCCACCACTTCTACCCCATAAACTGTTTCGCCTCCTTGCTGCAAGTTATGCTCTGTTTTCTCCACTGGCCCCTTCTGATGTGGATGCCTTCCACATCATTGTTTCCCTATGTCCAGCACCTTGTACAAGACCCTCTGCACCCTTCCCTCTTTAAGAATTACCTACCCATTTAATATGCCAACTGGAAATTATTCTCTAATTTAAATATGTATTGACTTAAAACTGTCCTGATTATTTTACGTGTATAATATATCTCATCTCTTCAACAAGATTTATTTCTTAATGGCAAAAACCATTTATTAAGCATCTTTATAAACACCTGAAGTCCAAGTATTGTACACCAAGCAATGTAAGTGCTCCAAAAAAAAAAATCTGTGTGAAGCAGCTACAGTTAAATGAGTTTCTGAACAAGTAGTAGGAGTAGAATAAATCCTTAGGGGTTGGTGGGAGAGGGAAATGCAGCTCATAAACAAAGGACTAGATATATTTCACCATGAGCTATTTATAAATGACCCTCAAATACCCTAGAAATTCTCTAAGCCAGTACTTTCTCCCTTTACCATTTTGATACAGAAAAAAATTTTATAGCAACACCTGAAGGATGATCAAAGCAGTCACAAATATTAATTAATAATAACTCTTGTTCCCGAACACATTAGCTTTTAAAGAGGGTTCTGCTCTGGTGAAGGTGTCATACACTAAATATGTAAAGACGAACTCCCTCTATTGACTTCAAGAACTAGTCCAGGCTGGTAAGGGAAGCAAAAAAGTACACATAAGCAAGTACTGCATACCCTCAGAAAGAACTGTTTAATCCATGGCCTTCGCTCATGCTACCAGTTCAAGGAGACAGCAGAGATTAGGAGGAAATTTATAAATTGTTCAGAAATAAGCCAACACTACTGGTTGTTCCTTGTTCTGAGCAAAGTAAACAAAACAGAAAAGCTTATCCACTTCAATCCTGATTGGTCCTTTTTATTTCTAAGTCAACAATGGGGAATTCTTGACATTCAGTATTACCTGAACAAGTAGGTGGGAGTAAATGTGTGCTTCTTGCCAGACGGGAACTGACATTTTGAGCAGGGACCAGGATCAGCTCTAGCCTAGGAACTTTGTGCAAAAGCTTGCAATCTAAGCAAATGACTCAGGGATGGGCACACATTTGGTCTTACTCTGACACAGCTAAGACAGTCATTATTCTACCTTGCCCCTAAAGGCACTGGGGAAGGTGGCTTATCACTCAGCTCAACAACTGAGTCATAGTATACCTGTCCCCTGCTCAGGAAAGAAACAAAAACATTTTCTGCCTTTCTAGCTTCCTAGGTTAGCTACAGAGTTAACTAACCATCAGAGCTAGTAAGTTGCCAGGTACAACTGGGTATGCCTGACTCATCGCTGTCTTGGGGCTAAATGGTTTGGCTTTGACACAGCAAAGAAAAATAATTCATAAGGACCTGGAGTGCACTGTGGTTCTGTGGCACCTGACCTTCATCCAACCTCTCTCTGAACTTGCCTCAGTTATCAGGGGTCTCAGCTTTACATCCTGAGATCAGTTATGTCCTGGCTGGCTCTGCCAGCCACCTTACCCCAACATGGCACCCAAGCTCTGGCTCTTGACCACCATACTGAAGCTGTAACACTTTACTCCAACCCCTTTTCCCATCTCAAAGTCCTTAGTTCCCATTCCATCTCCTGTCCCTGGCACTCAGGACGTAGTCCCTGACCCAGAAACAGAGAGCTGTGGCCAGAGGCTCACCAAGGGCCTGCCCATCCCTGAGGAGCACTGGCAGGTCCTTTCCTCCTGTGTGGTACCTGGAGATGCTGTTCCTCTTCCTGGAAAGTCTTCTCTAGCTGCTCCACTCTGGCCTGTTGCTGGGCCTGCTCTGCACACAGCTGAGACTGTAAGTCCTGTAGCTCCTGCTCCATTTTCACAATTTTCTTTGAGTTCCCCTTTTGGGTTTGCTTTTTCACCTTCAGGACAGCTACCTGTTTTTCCTGCATTTGTGTTTTCAGCTTCAGAATCCTGGACATGGTCACCTTGAACAGCTCCAAGCTGCTCTGAGATACTGAAGGGTTTGAGGCTTTCTGCTTCTTATGATGAAGCTCTATGACTTTTGCAGAACCAGAGTGAACATGAGCCTCTGTGGCCTTCTCACTTGGCTCAACAGAAGTCAACTTAGGATCCAAATATTCACCGGGTTGACTGGCCACTTCACCTTTCCCATGAGACTTCACTGGCTGACCAGGTTCGCAAGATACTTTACTTATTTTGGATTTCAAATTTGAGGGGCCTTCAGCTCCAGGACCCTCTAATTCATCCAAACTAAATTTCCTTTTAGTTCTCAATCCCCTATTTTTTCCTGTCATCTGGTCATTCTTTGGGGCAAGACAAGGATACATCCTCTCCCGGTCTTCTTCAGTAACATCATATTCATACTCTGCATTCTCCTTATTCTCCAGAGGTACTCCGAGCTGGATGTGGTCTCCCTTATGGATAGAATAGACCTTTAAAGGTTCTAGACGTTCTCTGTTCAGCCAAACACCATTCAGACTCTGGAGAAAGGGAAAGAAAGACGAAGTAAGCTTCATGATTTTCCTCCTCTTAATGGAATTTCTCTCCTGCTGCTGCAAAACCTTCTGCCTTTTCAGAAGGAAAACCCTTGAGAACAAATAGGAAAGGTTCATAAACCATCACCCTTAGAAACAGCATTCTTTAAACAGCTTTGGCTTTTTACCTGCATTTCACATTCATGTCTCCATAGAGAACTGCTCATATAACAGGCAGGAATCACCTTATTACTGGCCAATGAATTACTCAAATAAATGCAGCAGCATTAAAAGAAACTGCAGTTGAGTAGTTCCTATTGACCTAAACTGGGGGCAATGGCCCAAGACTGGAAAAATGGCTATTAGCGAAGGAAGCAGCATCTAATGATGAGGTTCAAAAAGTAGGTTTAGCCAGGAAAGTCACACAAGCACTGTCTCTGAATGTGGCCCCCGAACACATTAGTGAATGAGGAAAGCACCTTCCAGTACATATAAACCTAAAAAGAATGTATTGGTACCTCGTATTGGGGTCAAACTACAGGTGGGATCTAACCCAATTAACAGCACCAGAGGTCCACTGGGGAACACAGCATAGTGACTAAGAGCTGGTGCTCTGGCCCAGACAGACTTGAGTTCACAGCCCAAATGTACCTTGGCTTTATAAGTTGCCTGGCCTTCAGTGACTTACTTAACCTCCATGTCCCAGTTTGTCTGCAAAATAGGGATAGTTTAATTCCTAACTCATACTGCTCTGTGAGGAATAAACAAAATAATACATGTAAAACACTTGAGCACAGTGACTCACGTATAACAAATGCTTGGTAAATATTTACTTTAATGATTTAAATTAAACCACAGTGTAGGAGTTGAGAGCATGGACCCTGGAGTCACACTACCTAGACTTGTAATCTGGCTTCATCACTTAATAGCTGTGTGACTCTTGGTAACTTTCTTAACCTCTCCACACCCCAGTTACCACATCTATAAGCTGGAGGATAATAATAGACTCTCCCTCATGGAGTTTGTGTAGATTTAATGAGATGACATATGTAATGTACTTAGAAAAGTGCCTGGCACATGGTAAGCATTATGTAAGTGTTCACTACTATTATTATGTTCTGGCGCAATCGACTTATCAACAGTTATTTCAATTCCGTGCTCACCATCTTGCAAGGTAAATATACCCAATGCAAAAGTAGAAGATATGAAAACAACTTATAGCAGCTGACTATGGAAAAGAAAACACGAGGGCACACATAAGTAAATGTGGGATTACACAGCATAGCGTATAAATGCAAAGGACTACCATGTAGAGCTGGGCTACAGAAGAGATGCTAAATAGAGATGACAGGTTCTAAAACAGACTTGAAACAAATGCAGGATTTAAAGTTTAAAAAAAGACAAGTGGGGGTGGGGCGCGCTCCTGGCTGGCTTGTTCTGAAAAGCATGAGACTCACGATCTCAGGGTTGTGAGTTCGAGCCCCATGTTGGGGGTAGAGATTACTTAAATAAATAAATTTGGAAGGGAGGGAGGGAGGGAAGAAAGGAAAAGACAAGTGGGCATTTTAACCCATTTGAAGAATTTGTCTTTGGGAGACAGGCCAGAGATGAAGGTCACATGTGAACTGGGACTAAGACTATGTTCAAGCTGGTAACTACAGCTACCTCCTCACAGCTAGAAAATATACCTGGTCAACCCAAATATGAGGGATGGAGGCTTGACCACAAGGCACAGAGGACGAAGACTAGAGACTGGATCTCAGCTCCGGGTTGGTATTACGCCCTTGTTTTTTATTTTATATTATGTGGCTGGAGGGGAGAGAGGAAGAGAAAAATGAACAGGATACATGCGGAAAGACTGACATTAACTCACTGCCTTGGGCCTAACCTGGCTTATCTGGCCAACCTTCTCCTAACCTCTCTATTCATATTCTGCCTGAGAAATGATGAGAGTGATCAGTTCTGCTGACTTCTGAAACAACACAGGCAGGGGAAAAAAAAAAAAAAAAGGAGGGGGAGGGAGGCCAAAAGAACCTATTTGAGAACAGTTCTATAGCAGAATAGTCGATTACAGATTATACACAGGAAAAAGTCCTCAGGGAAAGGAATATGACACAGGAGGCCACCTACTGCCAAGGTACAGATATTTAAGAAAAATCTCAAAGACAAAGAGAAGGTTAAATAAAAGAAGGTTACAGAAGCAGCCTAAGTCTGGAGAAAATAAGGAACCCCTAAAAAATTGGGGCAGACTTTCAAGACATACTGCAAACTGTCTACTAGATCCTCTGTAGTAACCTGCCTCCTTTCAGAGCCCTTTATACCCAGAAAATAAACTCTCAATATTTTACCATCCTACTGTACCCTTGAATCCCTCTGTTTATCCGTTCACCACTCCTTGGTGACATCTAGTGGTATACTTTGGACCACAGCCCTGAGTCAGGTCTGTTCACAAGGCGACTATAGAAAAGGTTGAAAATACCATGACTGTACAAGAACAATTGAGTACTGCCCAGGATATGATCTTAAATGCACTGGTTTAAATAAATCAAACTGTGTTCAAGCCTTTCTTTTTTTTTTTTTTTTTAAGATTTTATTTATTTATCTGAGAGAGAGAGAGAGAGAAATAGCGAGAGAGAGCACATAAGCAGGTAGGGAAGGGAGAAGCAGACTTGCTGCTGAGCAGGGAGCCCAACACAGGGCTCGATCCCAGGACCCTGAGATCATGACCTGAGCTAATGGCAGACATTTAACCAAATGAGCCACTCAGGTGTCCCGGTATTAGAAATTCTGTACTAAAGCATAATATACAAACATAAAAGTGTACAAATCATAAATGTACAACTAGATGAATAATTACAAAGTGAACATCTCAGTGTAACTACAAGGTTTAAAAAAAAAATTCCACATTCTCAGCATCCAGACTGCCCCCCCACCCCCTAATGCCTGCTTCCCTCTAGTCACTAAGCCCCTCCCCCCTCCATAAAGGGACTACTAGTCTGGCTTAACATCACACATTAGTTTTGCCAAGTTTGGACAATTATATAAATGGCATCATATAATATGTATTCTTTTGTGTTTGTCTTCTTTCACTCAATCTTGTTTGTGAAATTAATCCATGCCACTGGATACAGGAGTTCATTCATATTCATTCTAGGGTAGTGCTTCATTGTAAAACTGTATCCACTGTTGATGAACACTTGGGTTGTTTCCTTGGTAGTGAAAATATTGTCAGGAGGTGTATATATATGTGCAACTGTAATAAATAATGCCAAATAATTTTCAAAAATTGTTGTACCAATTTATACTTCTACCAAAAGACTATCTGCCCTCTATCCTTGCTAATGCCTGTGACTGTCGGTATTTAATTTTAGCCACTCTGGCAGGTATGTAATGGTATTCCATTGTGGTTTTAATTTGCATTTCCCTGATCACTAATGAGGTTGAACAACTTCTCAAGGATATTGAGCATTTGGATATAATCTTTTGTAAAGTGCCTGGCTCTTGCCCATTTTTAAAACTGGGTTATCTTTCTTTTTCTTATTGATTTGGAGTTCTGTACTATTCAAACATAAATGCTTCACTGGTTATGTGTGTAGCAAATATCTTCTTCCACTCTGAGTCTGCCTTCCCACTCTGAATGGTGTCTTTTGATGAATGGAAGTTCTTAATTTTAATGTGATAAAGCAGAATTTTTTTTAAAAGAACCCCAGGTAAGCCCAAAAACTGGAAATGGGGTTGAAAGCCACTGTTCTAGCTGCTGGAAGACCAGAAGCTGAACTGTCCCAAGCAAGAAGGTTTGTTCACAGACAATCAAATTCACCAGAGACATTAAATGCCATAGCCTACAGAAGCATGAAGGCAGGAATCACCAGGGAGCAGACGAACAACAACATGAGAGGAGAAGAATGAGAAACGTTCAAACAACACGCCTAAGTCTAGAGGACTGAAGGCAAGCAAACCCACCCAGGCATTTCAGACTGACTCTGAAACAACCAATTTTCTGAAAGAGCTTGATATTAATATATAAGATGAGCCATCTGAAGAGCTTTTCAACTGAAATGTACACAACTACAACATTCTGTGTGTGCAGAGTCAGCAGTCCTCCAAGGTTTTTTTTTTTAAGCCAATTTAAACTAAAATTGCATTTGTTGCAATTTTTGGATCTGTACTTAAGCTTTCACTTTCTGGCCATTCCAGCATATAAGAGATACCACTTAATGAAGAGAGAATGTAGTTCTGAGTTTTGAATTATTAGAAATCTCTACCTCTTGAAAAGACTTGGCAAGTGACTTCAAATATGACCATAACAATAATGTCCTGCACCTGAAATTCAAATCCTTCATCAGAAGAAGAGGACTGCCAAGGCATCATGCCAGAAAAAAGTCACAAAGTAAAGGAGCATCTGTTAAGGAAAAAAAAAGGCAGGGGCAGCGGGGTGCTTTTACCTGTAAGAACAGTTGCTCCATCAAAACACTCGAGTCACAGCTTCTCTTAAAAATCAGTTACCTCACAAATGGAATCAAAGCTAAGAGGCTTAAGCCAGAAAAGACTTGGAAGAATCAGGAGCCTGCCTTTGCTCTGTATTATCTGTCTGAACCCTAAAAGAGGAGTCTCATGGTAACAACAGCCCTAGAAGAAAGGGTACATGGCAAATGCTGGAAAGCAGCCCAGAAGCAGTCATGATCTGTGGCTGCTGTGGGCTGTCTCTGTATCCCTGAGGCTGACATTCAAGGAACACTAAAATCAGTCAGCTGGTGGCTTTCCAACCTCTCAAAATCCACTATCACATAAATGGAACACATCCATACGCACATAACAAGGACAAAAGCATGAGAGAACTCACATTTCTAATACTGCAACCCCATTTCTCAGACAGCCAATTCTGATAAGGAAAACACCTTTTCCTAAGGTGATCTGATATAAGCTATTGCAGGGCCTTTAAAACCTGGCATCTATGACTTAGATATGCATCATTAATTTTTTCTTAATCCTACAACTGGTACAGGTTTCCCCTGATATCCAAAAGTAGAGTGTTCCCATGACTCCTTTCTTCATAACCCAATGGTGTAAAGCAAAGCAATTACCATTAACTTATATGGAAAATTTTTTTATTGTTCCCAAACTCAAAATATAACCTCTCATAGGCTTTTCTGCTACTTTAGGACATCACCTGCTAACGGATGCACAAAGTAAATCAAGATTAAAGTACAGATGCTCACGGACACAGTTCAAAGCTATGGCACCTTGACGCTGAGATGCTGAGTGTAGTTCCCTGGGAAAGAGCTTAGCAGGGCCACTCTCAATGCTCTGGTGTGTGCTGCCTCTATCACAGCTCACTGCAAAACAAATGGTAAACACTATTTTTGCCTTTTTTTTTTTTTTTTTTTTGTAAAAGTGAAAATCCTCTTCTGATTTCTTTTCGTTAGCAAATATAGGCACCAATGCAGGTCTTTTGTAAAAGCAAAATGTAGGATAGGTAATGTGAACTTCCCAAAAGCAGGGCAAACCTATAGAGCAAATCAATGTACTTCACAGGTGTTTGACAATAGGACACAGCAGAGATTTATTTGAGTTGGAGCCCTGGCTCATGCACTCACTCAACTAGTCAGAAGGCCCTGGGCCAGTCAATTTCTCTCTCTGGGTCTCCGATTCCTCTGTTCCCGGAAGAGGTTAAACTTGATCATCTCTGAGGCCCTCTTTACAGTACACAGATTCCCATTCTACTCCTAATGACTTGCCAAGAGTGCCAAACCAATTTACTTAGCACTTAGACCCTCTCCTTCAACACAGTGCCAACTCAACTTCACCCTAGTTAGGGAGGTAGTTTCTCAATAGCTTAAATCTAGCAGTTTTAAGAATGTAAAATGAGGCAGGCCTGTGGGATACCTGTGATATTGTGAATTATAATTAGAAATACATATTTGATCTTTATCCCAGTTTCTAGCACAGAGCTACTAAAAACTCTTAGAATTTCCTAAGTGGTGAGACAGAAAGGTGTATGAGGCAACCCTGGTCCAGCCCCAGGTCACGTAATGGTAGGGTCTATTTGCTAAGGGAAGCAAACCTATCATTGGAGGGTTGAAACTTCCAGTCCCACCCTTCAACCTTCTGGGAGGAGAGAGGGGCTGGACATTGAATTGATCACCAATGCCCAAAAATTTAATCAACTCTGTGCTATGTAATAGAGCCTCCACAGAAACCCAAAAGGATGGGTTCAGAGAGCTTCTGGATTGGTGACTACATGGAGGTGTTGAGGGAGTGGCACACCCAGAGAGGACGTGAAAGCTCTATGCCCTTTCCCAAATACCTTGCTCTACACATCTCTTCTGCCTGGATGTTCATCTGTATCCTTTGTTCCAAGACTTTCATAATAAACTGGCAAACATAAACAAATGTTTCCCTGAGTTCTGTGAGGTACTCTAGCTAATTAATCAAATCCAAAGTGGGAGGAGGTCATTGGAACCAACTGGTTCCAGTTGGTTAGAAGTACAAGTAAACAACTTGGACTTGTGACTGGCATCCTTGGAGCCTCTAATCTACAGTTGTTAGTCAGAAGCATAGGTGCTAACCTGTGGAATCCCATGCTACCAGAACTAAGATGAATAGCAGGACACTGAGCTGGCGTCTCAAGCATTGTTTGGCGGTGTGTGGGTAACCCCCGCACCCACCCACCACACACACCTCAGAACTGGTCTCAGACCATTTACTACCTTTCCTTCTAACAGATGCCTGTACAACCCTTTCAACCAGAGCAGAGTAAGATGGTATCTGAAGACATTTCCTACTTCCTAATGCCTTAGCTGTCAACATTCGAATTTCTCTCAGCACACAGTTTCTATTTCTACAGTACCCCTGGGTGTGCTTGTGTATCTGCACTTTAGGTGCTTCCTAATTGCTGGGCTTTACACACTATTTCACTTCCCTTAGTATTCACACCAGACCAGTGCTTTTCAAAGCTGTTTAAAGCAGGAAAGTCCTGTATTCAAAAGTCTTCCTCAAGACATGAATATATAAAATGGATTTAAAAGGGGGTGGGAGTGTTGTTCTGATAGAAAGGAACTAGGAAGGGAAGGAACTAAGTGCAGTCAGCTCAGCTCCTTCCTCCTCCCAGTGCTCTAAATTATTGGCGTACTCCAGAATATGCATCGGATTTTTCCCAAGGTCTCTGTACCTGTGACTCACAAAGGCCAATTCCTCCAGTAACTTAGTCTAGTTTCTGGAGCAGGACCTACTGCCCCAATTCAAGAGTTTCCTTCAAAGTAATGAACTTTCATTCAAGTCATTAGAAATTATTTTGGGGCGCCTGGGTGGCTCAGTGGGTTAAGCCGCTGCCTTCGGCTCAGGTCATGATCTCAGGGTCCTGGGATCAAGTCCCCCATCGGGCTCTCTGCTCAGCGGGGAGCCTGCTTCCCTCTCTCTCTCTGCCTGCCTCTCTGTCTACTTGTGATCTCTCTCTGTCAAATAAATAAATAAAATCTTTAAAAAAAAAAAAGAAATAAAATCTTCAAAAAAAAATTAAAAAAAAAAAAGAAAAGAAGAAATTATTTTGGTATAACCTAATCTCTGGCAGCATACAGAAATGGTTGTGGGGAAGACAACTGGGTGGCTAGGGGAGAAGATTTACTTTTGAGCCTCTTAATTTTATATTCTGTATTACCTATGCAAAAAAAAAAAAAAGTAATTTAAAAATAAACAAAAATTCAGTAAAAGTCATTAGGCATCTGTAGATTCCTGTACCTTATTGTCCATAATTGTCCACTGGCCCTCGACATTCTGCTTCAAAACACAGTGGTTTCGGGAAATCATCAGAGGGCAGATTTTTGATACCAGCTGGTATGTGACACCAAATCCTCGCCCTATCGTCACCTAGGAAGACAACAACGTAAGAGACAATCAGTCATTTTGCTGAAAAGGGAGATCCTTTACCATCTTGTCAAGAAGCAATATTCAAACGTCCTGACTTATGAAACCAGACCCTCATAAAACCCATACTGCTTATCAGCTATCTCCTTCTGATACCATGGGAGCCACCAGGTAGAAAAAGGCAAGAAGTTCTGACAAGAAGAGGCAGCTGAATGAAGTTAGTCCGGGAATGTCAGGATTGGGACGACCCTGAGTTTTCATCATGAGATGGAGGAATCCTTTCCACACACCCCCATCAAGCAGTCTTAATGCTGCCAAGAACTACAGCCTCTATACAAGACAGTCCTTCCAGTTTTTCAATGGCCCTGATTTGGCGTCTTTCTTCCTATAAATTCCATCTGTTGGTTCTGGCTCTCCCCTGAACACTATGAAAAAATCTCCAACCCCCCTTCCACTTGACAGCTATAAAGTGTCTACCTAGTCTTCTCTTTTCTGGGCCCTATGTTCCCAGTGACTTCAAACTTAACTCCCATGACATAGGTTCGCACCCCTTTGCTACCCTAATACATCTGTTAAGGGGCTCCTGGTTTATTTTTATTCCTAGATGTCACATTTAAAAAAAATAATTTTTATAACACAGTCAAATGCAAGCATCACTTTCCCAGTTCTAGATATCATCACTGGGGCATATAAATTGCATTAGCTTTCACAGCAGATCTATCATGCTGCCAATGTATCCTCAGGCTTAGGAATGATTAAATTTCTTGGTCTAACCTTCCTCCAAGAATTGCTATGCTAAGTCATGTCTCTTCTGTCCTATACTTGACTAGTTGGTACATTTGGATTCAAGTGCAGGACCTTACATTGATTCCTATTAAATTTCATCTTGTTAGTTCAGCCTATCACATGAGCTTGTGAAGACCTTTCTGAATTTTTAATCTGCCATCAAACATACTCAATATCCCTTCCAGCTTTGACTCATCCACCATATTGATATGAGGCCTTCTATACATTCATTTAAGACACAGATAAAAAGACTGAAACAGAATGTAGCCAAAGGCAAAGCTCCCAGGAAAGCCTAGTAAACATTCCACTACACTATCTAGGTACACCTTTAACCAGTTGTAATTCAACCAGAAGTCTTTGGATCAAGTCCATATTTTCTATCTTATCCATGAGGACGGCATGAGAGCCTTGGAAAAAGGTTGCAAAGAAGCCTCAGTTCTTATCTGTCACACTTTTCTGATGGACCAGTCTAGTTTCTAATAACCCTGTCAAGGAAGAAAATTAAATTCCCCTGAGATTTAGATCTTAGAATCCCCTGCTGCTTCTTTTTGGTGTACAAGCCACCTCTATAATGACCCATACCACAACCTTAGTTAAGAACAGTAAGTCAAATGGCCTGTGGTTTTCTAAAAGCTCCCCATTTTGTTCTTTTTGAAAATCTTTCAGAATCATGCCAGTCCTCCTCAGTTCCTCAAAGACCATCAAATGCTTCCCCTAAAACTCCCATCACAGTAACTGACACTAGTATCCAAGCAACTGCTTAGCCCAAAACCCAGGAGCCATCTTTGATTTTTCTGTCCCCCCTCCTCACATTCAAATCATCAGCAAATTCTACTGGTTGTATTCAAATATATCCCAAACCTGTCCACTTCTCTCTATCTCTATGGCCAATACCTTAGTCCAAACAACCTGACCTCCTCCAGCTGTTTTTACTCCTGCCCTGCATTCCCTTACTCCGACCAACTTCATTCTCCACACAGCAGCTGGAGTGGTAATGTAAAATCTTTAAAACAGACCATTTCCCTTCTTTCCAAACTATACTGATGATCCAAACTTCCTTCCATAGCCTATAAGGCCTGAATGTCCCAACCCCTACAGCTCTTTAGTCTTATCTCGTATTACAGTCAGAAACACCACTACCTGAGGGTCTTTCTTCCAGTCCCCTCTACTTAGAACACTCTTCTGAGACATCTGTAGGGGCTCCTTCTCATCTTTCAAGTTTCAACTCCTCAAGGGCCTACCCTGATTACCCTAAAGTTGTTGCCTGCTCCCTCCCCCACCATTGCATTCCTTCATTTTGTTAGTATGCACTTATCACAATCCAAAATGATCTTGTTTCCTTTACCTATTCCCTACCCCTTACTAAAACATAAATTTCATAAGCAGGGACCTTATCTATCTTGTGTACCACTGTATTTCTATACCTGGGACAGTGCTTAGTAAATATGTGTGAGTGAATAAAGGAATAAAGAGCTTCTGAGAGTCCTCCCAGATTCAAGGATGAGCACTTTTCAGGTCAGAAGTTGGAAACTGGGTTATTATCACTGGAAACTATAGTGCAGCAGCCAGGAACTCTTACAATTTGACTTAAGTTCTTCAGTTCTTTTTTTTTTTTTTTTAAGATTTTATTTATTCATTTAATAGAGGGAGAGTAGCAGCAGGCAGAGTGGGAGGGAGAAGCGGGCTCCCTGCTGAATGTGGGACTCAATCCCAGGACCCTGGGATCACGACCCGAGCCAAAGGCAGCTGCTCAACAAACTGAGCCACCCAGGCATCCCAGTTCTTCAGTTCTTTGAACAGTTTGCCAGAAATTCCATTTACTATCCAACTTCCCCTGAATATATCTATATTATATATTTAAAGGATATTTAATTACATACATGTAAATTTAAAGCATAATTCTATTTATTTATTTATTTATTTATTTATTTATTTATTTAAGAGATACATATGGAACCTGGGTGGCTCAGTCGTTCAGCATCTGCCTTCGGCTCAGGGCACGATCCCCAGGTGCTGGGACTAAGCCCCACATCTGGCTCCCTGCTCAGCAAGGAGCCTGCTTCTCCCTCTCCCTCTGCCTGCTGCTCCCCCTGCTTGTGCTCCCTCTCTGTGTCTCTCTCTAATAAATAAATACAATATTTAAAAAAATAAAGGATAAAAATGGAATGTTTAGGGGCGCCTGGGTGGCTCAGTGGGTTAAGCCTCTGCCTTCCACTCAGGTCATGATCTCAGGGTCCTAGGATTGAGCCCAGCATCGGGCTCTCTGGTCAGCAGAGAGCCCGTTTCCCCCCGCTATCTCTCTGCCTGCCTCAGTGCCTACTTGTGGTCTCTCTGTCAAATAAATAAAATCTAAAAAAAAAAAAAAATAATAATGGAATGTTTAGGGGCACCTGGCTGGCTCACCCAGTAGAACATACACCTCTTGATCTCAGGGTCATGAGGTCAAGCCCCAGGAGAGGCATGGAGCCTACTTAAAATCATTTATTTATTTATAAAATTTTTTAGAGATGAAATGTTTAAGGGTTTATCTGTCATCCTGGAACAGTTAAGAATTTCCATGTAGGTAGCTTTTTTTTTTTTTTTTTTTTAAATTTGAAAGACCGCTGAGTATGGAGCCTATAATGGGGCTTGATCTCATGACCCTGAGCTGAAATCAAGACTCACCTGCCTAACCAACTGAGTCACCCAGGTATCCTGGTAGCTTTATTTCTAATAAAGGAAGTACTCCACAGGCCATTTTAATACTTGAGAGGAGACAGCCAGGTTGCCATTGAGAGCTGTCTGGATAAAGTATTACAGAAAAGGGAGATGAGTGCCTTTTTCTAAAATAGTCTCCTACAGACTCTGAATCCAGGGAAGTAAGGAACCACTCTTTTTTGTCGTTCCCTTTACAGTCTGGTCCTGTAATTTACCTAGGTACACCAAGGTTAGAGTCTGTGGTGTGCTTATCCAGATATTCCAGCATTATTTGCACATAAAAGTAAATTTCCCATGGGAATTGAGTGCCAACAAATGACCTATGCAAGTGTTGGGGGTTGTTCCTATTTACAACAGTTTTGCAAGCCATTGTTCTTACCCATCTTGGTTGCTAGCTCATTTCTCCTGGGCATGACTCCTATTCTTTCCCAGATGGCCAGCAAATACTCTAGAACCATCCTTTCCCTTTTCCAAGCCCTTAAGGCAAAAAAGCTTCATGAAAACCAAATACAAGAAAAGAAAAAGAGAAAAACAAGGATAATATGGTTTTTTCCAAAGACCTAGATACTTGTAAGACCAAGATAATTCATAATACATCTCTACCTAATTTGTTTTTCCCCCAAACTCTCTGGATCGGTTCAAGAAGTTTAAGGACAGGGGTGCCTGGCTGGCTCAGTTGGTGGAGCAAGCAACTCTTGATCTCAGGGTCCTGAGTTTGAGCCCCACTTTGGGAGCAGAGATTACTTAAACAAAAACAAAAATAAAACAACAAAAAAAAGCAAACAAAAGGCCTCTTTGGGGGGGCGGGGAGAAGTTTGAGTACACCCATTCAGACAGACAATTTACAGCTGTATTCCCTCCAGTGAAATGAGAAGAACCTTGTTTTATTCTTTTATCAGGGAAATAGGAGACTTTGATGGGTACTGGAAAGGCAGGAAACTGATTCTGCTGCTATAACTAAATCATGTAAGTACACCTCCTAAATCTTATGCACACCACCTTGTGCTATGGTTTCAGGCCCACTAAAATAAGTTAGACTTCATCTCTTGCCTTAATTCAGACCTCTCTTCATACACACTGCAGGCTATGCTCCAACTACTTCCTAATACCAGACCCTGCAGACACTTAGGCCTGGCAGGTCTCTTACACAGCACCCCGGACAAGCCAGTCTTCCTACTATGTCTTTACCATTCACTATAGTTTGTATGTGTCTCTCCCCACAGAGGTGGCTCTACACAAAATTATCCAAAAGTTTAAAATACATATAGGAACACTTTACAGTTCTTCTTACTTTTGCTACAGGGGCTTTAATTCTTTTTGCCCCCAACTCCTATTTTCACTCCCAGTGCTATCAAGCTATTCAGAAGTAATGAATTAGTCCACATCAATTGAATATGAAAGAATGTTAACAACTGACTAAGTACTTTATAGGGCTGTATGTGAGTGTGGGACACTTGCAGGGCTCAGATTAAGTAATACTTACAAAAGCCCAAACCCAATACAAAATAGGGAATAGCTACTAATATTTAGGTGTCAATATCTTCATTTGTGAAACTTCCCAAAGGTAAATGCTTTTGGAAAAAGCCAGGCAGGGAAAGGTCAATGTTCAAGCTAAAAGAATGTGTGCTGAGAGGTGCCTGGGTAGCTCAGTTGGTTAAGCATCGAGCTGTCAGTTTTAGCTCAGGTCATGATCTCGGGGTTGTGGAATTGAGCCCTGTGCGGTGGGATAGAGCCCCACGTCAAGTCTGCACTCAGCAGGGAGTCTGCTTCAGATTCTCTTCTTCCGCCCCCTCTCCAACAGGTTCTCACTCTCTTTTTCTAAAATAAATAAATAAATAAAATCTTTAAAAAAAAAAAAAAAGAAAGAAAGAAAAGAATTTGTGCCTAATGTGGACTCCAGGCACTGATACCTGGATAGAAGAGAGATTTGGGGGAAGAGGTGTCTTCCTGCTGTTCTTCAAATCACAGCACCCAAGGAACCATTTAAAACTTCCTAATCTAGCAGTTAAGGCTGGACCTGACTACCATCTCTGACTTGAGGAACTACTGTTCTAGGATAGTACTAAATAATACACGTCTTGGCACTTACTCTACAGCCTGCATGGCTCTCTCAGATCGCTTCACTGTATAAAACTGTCTTTCCCCATTCAAGCAATAAACTCTCTGAGGGCAAAGTCGCTATTATTTGTCCCTCTCATAATACACCAAAAAACATAAATAATAAATATCTGGGAGACTGAACTGAGACTATGTAGCTTACAGAAAAACCATATAATCAAACACATATAATAATCAAAAGACTACTTTATTTTTCATACAAACTATTTCCAAAACCCAAGTGGTTCCCAGTCACCACCACAAGCTGGTCCCTGATCCATCCAGCTCTCCTTCCAGAGCTGACAGCACTCCAACTCGCTCTGCTCCCTCTTCTATCACTCTCTCTAAAGCACCACACCAGCGGCCCCCAACTGGAACCGTGCCTCACCCTTCCTCTTTTTCCTTTTTTGCATTCATGCATTAAAAAACATTACAAGCGACCTCTGGAGAAGGCAGCTCTAGTATTTCTGAATCCCTACCCCCAACCCACCTCAGGGGGTGCCACTCGGCCCGTACCAAGACTCACAGGATAAAAATGGACCCTCCCAAAGCGTCAATTTTCCTCAAGAGTTGAAAAGGAAGACATTTTTACATTAATATTTACGGCTTTTAAAAGGACATGACCTAACCTCACAGTCTTTTTCAAAAGAAACTCTAGAAAGTTCATGCTTTTCCGCTCCCCACCCCCACCCCGGATACTGGGCGCTTCGGGATTCCGGGTGGAAGTTGGGGCAGCTCCGCCGCCAGAGCCGGACACCTCAGGGCTCCGTCCTATCCAAACAGGGGCTGTCTCACTCCCCTCCCCAACCGAGTCGTCTCCTACCCCTCCAAACCCCAGCAGGTCCGCACATCCTCCACGCCCACCCCTCGCCCAGCCCCTCCAACAGCTCCTTCCCGCAACCCTGACTCCCGCCCGAACTCGCACCGCAGGCCCAGGCCTCTCTCAAGAGGGGCCATCTTTCCTCCCGAGCGGTCCCCACGTCCCCCCTTCAAACACTTAGCACCTCGACCCCCCGCAACCGCTCGCACCAGAACCCCTTCCTCCTCTCCCTCAGGAACCCCTCTTCACATCTCTCCCCTCCCGCCGGCTCCCACCTCCTCTCTTCCATTCATCCCTCCCGCCCAGACATCCCGACTCCCTCCCGGCCCTGCTTCCTCCAACCCCCTCCTCCTACCCAAGGACTCCTCCCGCTCACCTCGTTTCCGTCCTCCAGCAGCAGCCACTCGGCGTTCATCCCTACCCGCCGCAAGCACCAGCTTCGGCCACCGGCGCGGTCTCCCGTGACCAACGAGCCGCGCTCCTCCATAGCCCAATCTGCCCTGAGTCGCCGTCAGCACAGAGCGAGACCCCCGCCCGGGTTCCCGCCGCCTCTCAGCTTCGTCGCCGGCGCCATACCTAAACAACAGACAGAAGCAATCGCTACGCGCTCGCGATCGATGTGAACACCGCTCGGGCTCCGCGCCCCGCCCACTCCGCCAGTAAACCGGCGTCACTGCGCCTGCGCCGGAAGGAGGCGGTGGCGAGGCGGCACAGCTGTGCGGTGTTTTAGGCCCAGGTGGACCGGGGTCATCCGGAAGCTGCTTTTCTCCAGAACCTCCACCGCAGTCCTAGCCGCGGGTAGGTGGAATCTCTCTTACCTTACCCCCACCTTTTGAATTTTGATTTTGCGGGGCTCCTCGGTGGCTCAGTCCTTAAGCGTCTGCCTTGGGTTCAGGTCATGATCTCAGAGTTCTGGGGTCCAGCCCTGCATGGGGCTCCCTGCTCAGCCCGCAGCCCACTTCTCCCTTTCCCACTCCTACTTGTGTTCCCTCTCTCGCTATGTCTCTGTCAAATAAATAAAAATCTTAAAAAATATGTTTTTTTGCTTTATGATGAGTTCCATGGTACCTAAAACTTTAACCAACTTTTAAGCAACTTTAAACTTGTGATAATTTAAAAATATGTTAAGTCTGGGGGCACCTGGCCGGCTCAGTCAGTAGAAGAGACTCTTGATCTCTCGCTGTGAGTTCAAGCCCCACCTTGGGTGCAGAACTTACTTAAAAAAAGAGGGAGCGAGTGAGCACAAAATGTGTTGAGACTTCCTAAATAGCATCTGTTTTGCATGACACCCTTTTACTACTGAATTTTTCAAAACCTATAGTAGATAAATCTATGGAGGCAGAAATCAGTTATCTGGGGCTAGGCGTGGGAGCCAGGACTAAGGGCAGAACCGACATTAAAAAATTTCGGGAGGTGATAGAAGTGTTCCGAAATTGGATTGTGGTGATGATTGCACAATTGTATATATTTACTGAAAAGTCATTGAAGCATTACATACACTTCCATTGAACAAATTTTATGGTATGTAAACTATCCTCAGTAAAGCTATTAAAAAACACCACCACCACCTGAAATTATTTTTTTGGGGGGGCGGTCCTCCAGCATAGTGTGGTAGCTGTTCCCTGTAGTGAGTATCTCCGTCATAACTCAATACCCCCTCTTGTCTTTTCCAATTTTCAATACTTGGTTTACAATTTTCTTAAATTCTATCAGGGAAAATATATATACTAAATGAATTATACAAAGCACAACAGCAAAGGGTAACATTGAGAACTAAGTGCCAAGTACTAGGCCAAGCACCCTACATACTTTATCTTATATGCTCCCCACAAACGCTATGATGACAGTGGTTACAACAATAATTCTTATTTTAAGATTGATAAGAAAAGCACAGAGAGGTTTAGCAGTCTTCTCCAAGGAACAAGTTAAATGGTAGAGTAGAATACCAATTCAGTTCTAATTTCCTAATCATAGTTGCAACCCCAGCCTGGAGTTTTATCTGTGTGACGTGGTCAGGTCAAGAATTTCGGCCTAGGGACGCCTGGGTGGCTCAGTTGGTTAAGCAGCTGCCTTCAGCTCGGGTCATGATCCCAGCGTCCTGGGATCGAGTCCCACATCGGGCTCCTTGCTCGGCAGAGAGCCTGCTTCTCCCTCTGACTCTGCCTGCCACTCTGTCTGCCTGTGCTTGCTCTCACGCTCTCTCTCTCTGACAAATAAATTAAAAAAAAAGAATTTCAGCCTAAGGGGCACTCAGCTGGTCAAGCACGTGACTCTTGGTTTTGGCTCAGGGCAGGATCTCAGGGTCTCCGCACTGTCTCCAAACTCAGCATGGAGTCTGCTTGTCCCTCCCTCTCCCCCTCTACTCTTCCCCAACTCCCCCTCAAATAAATAAATAAATAAATAAATAAATAAATAAATATCTTAAAAAAGAAAAAATTTAGACTATGATGTCAAAGAGGGTCAGGAAAATGGGTGGGAGCCACAACTGTACTCATGCAAATGCTTCCCTAGGCTTTGGATTACATGTCTCTTGGTGCCTCCATCCCCCCTTAGCATTCCATCCAGGAACAGCAAGTGCATCCAGAGGCTATCCTGACATTTCATTGACATGTCCACTTAGGCTCCTCTTGGCTGTGACAGTTTCTCAGAACCTTGTTTTTGAAGACCTTGACAGTTTCAAGGAGTACTGGCCAGGTATTTTGTAGAATGTCCCTAAATGGGGATTTGTCTGATGTTTTTCTCATGCTTAGACTGGGTCTATAGGTTTTAGAGAGGAAGACCATAGAGGTAAAATGTCATTCTCATCATATCATACTGAGGGTACATACTATCAACATGAATTATTACTATTGATGTTAACTTTGATCATCTGGCTGAGGTAGTGTTTGTCAGCTTTCTCTTCTGTAAAGTTCCTCTCCCCTTTTGCAGACTTTGCTTTTTGGAATTAGTCACCACGCACAGCCTACACTTAAGGAGTGGGGAGTTGAGGTGCCTGGGTGCCTTAGTTGTTAAGCGTCTGCCTTCAGCTCAGGTCACGATCCCAGGATCCCAGGATTGAGCCCTGCATGGTGCTCTCCGCTCAGCGGGAGGCCTGCTTCTCCCTCTCCCACACCCCTTAGTTGTGTTTCCTCTCTTGCTGTCTCTGTCAAATAAACAAAAAAATTAAAAAAAAAAAATAAGGAGTGAGGAGTTCTGCTCCACTTCCCTAAGAGCAGGGTATCCACATAAATTGCTTAGAATTCTTTTGCATGGGAAGGGCACCTGGGTGGCTCAGTGGGTTAAAGTGTGTGTCTCACTCTTGGTTTCAACTCAGGCCATGACCTTAGTTAGGGTCAAGATCGAGCCCTGTATCAAGCCCAGCATCAGGTTCCATGCTCTGTGGGGAGTCTGCTTCCCCTCTCCTTTTGCCTCTGTCGCTCATTTCCCCCCACTCGCCCATTTTCTCTCTCTCTCTAAAACAAATCTTTAAAAAAATAATAATAATTCTTCTGCATGGGAGATTTATCTCTTCTCCCTCATTTATTTATTGAATCAGTTATTCATATTGGTATGGACTCATGGATACTTATTTTATACTTTGCTTTATAATCCAATACCACTTTATTTTATTGCTCAAATTGTTCCTACTTTGGCTACATTGTCCCTTCGACATACTTGCATCATTGTGCTTTATAGAGCATACTCTTACTTTCTGGCACAAGATGTTCTAGGCCTAGAGTCAACCAGTTCTCAAGGAGCCCTGTTTCCTTTTATTGGGAAATGGAATTTGTTATTCCATTGGGAAATGGAATTAGAAACCAAGACCTGGACCCTAAGTGTGCTTGTTGCCACTGTTACTGCTCCTAGGTTCTCTCAGCTGACAGGAAGTAAATATTTGTATGAATACTAACTCCTCCATATCCCTGTATCTATGAATGTTTAAAATGTATGTATGCACTTATGTTGTATGTAGGTAGGTAGGTATGTAGTAACACATATATCTCCATTGGTAAGCTCACCTTATGCATACAGATGGCTTACAACTCGAATGCATTACCACCTTGCCCCTGGATTGTTCCGATCATCCCCCCACCCTTGCTTATCTGTAACCTTCGACTCTAAAACTGAAAAGCCTGGCTCCCACCATATACCATCCATTTATGTAATCGTCATTGCCAGTATACATACAGTGTTTTCAGAATTGTTAACCCCTACACTTTATGGGAAACACTTTATGAACTAGAATGCACTACTTATGCCCAAGTCTTTGACTTTTAGTCTTACAGACTTCACTCATTTCCAAAGTTACTTAGGTGCCACCCTTTCCCCCCACCTACTTCAAAGAGGTTATTTCATAGATTCTTTTGTCATGCTCTGCATTCTCTCTAGGATCCCCTGACCTCCTACAATGATCTTTTATTTTTTATTTTATTTATTTATTTATTTTTTTATTAAAAAAAATTTTTTTTAAAGATTTTTATTTATGTATTTGACAGACAGAGATCACAAGTAGTCAGAGAGGCAGGCAGAGAGAGAGAGGGAAGCAGGCTCCCTGATGAGCAGAGAGCCCGATGCGGGACTCGATCCCAGGACCCTGAGATCATGACCTGAGCCGAAGGCAGCGGCTTAACCCACTGAGCCACCCAGGCGCCCTTATTTTTTATTTTATTTTTTTAAAGATTTTATTTATCTATTTGACAGACAGAGATCACAAGTAGGCAGAGAGGCAGGCAGAGAGAGAGGAGGAAGCAGGATCCCTGCTGAGCAGAGAGCCCGATGCGGGGCTCGATCCCTGGTCCTTGAGATCATGACCTGAGCCGAAGGCAGA